GTTGGCACCTTCTTCCCCGTGTCTGTGTAGGGTTTCCTCCCACAGTCGAAGATGTGCAGGTTAGGGGTGGAATGGTTGTGCTGAGTTGCCCAGGGATGTACAGGCTAGGTGGGTTAGCAATGGGAAATGCAGGGTTACAGAGTTTGGGTGGGATGACCTTCAGAGGGTCAGTGTGGACTCTCTGGGCCAAATGGCCTGCTTCCACACTGTCGGGATTCTATGAGCCACATCCACCATGAGGGAAGCACAGACTTTAGGAAAGGGTGTGAGTGCAGGAGGAATTTGCAAAACTGGTTCACCCCGATGAGAACCTCCAGTTATGAGGAAAGGTTGGGATTGTTCTCCTGGCGAGAAGGAGGCTGAGAGGAGATCTGATAGAAGTTTCTGGAGCTGTGAGGGGAGGTGAGAAAACCTAAAAGGATTGAGGACAAAGCAGCATGGATATAAAGTCATTTGCAAATGTGAGGTTGGTAAGCACTTTTTTTCCCCTGAGTGGTCTGGAATTGTGGTGGAGGCAGGTTCAACTCAAATATTCAAGAGGGCCCCGGATAATTATTTGGTGGGAAATAGTGTGTGTTGTCGTTGACAATCCCTGGATAATGGGTATGATTGTCTACCTCGGAAATACTGTGTCACCAGTCAGAAAAAAAATGAGATGAAACAATGTACAATGGCATGGGAAAAGGAAGAAGGTTGGCATCATGTCAAAATGCCCACTGATGAACGGACGCTGACCGGCCTCCCTATGCAGTGTAATAATTCCGTAATTCTCTGCATTCAGTGTTGGAGTATCCGAAACTTTAGGGGCAGAGAATTCCAAAGCTTCCGAGCCTCCTTCGAGTGAAGGAATGTCTGCTCCTCCCAGCCTGAGAATATGTTTTAGACTCTCCTGACCAGCAGAGCCCCTCAGAACCTTGTGCAGTTCAATAATATTCTCCTCGCTCGTAACAAGCCGCTAAAACTTCAAAAGCAATTCGCTATGTGAAAGCTTTTGACATGATGTACTACCTAAGACAGAAGTCTTCCTATAACTCACTTTGTTGAGGTGGTAGATATCCCTATGTAGACATCTCATCACAGCAGAAGTGGCTGATGAATTTATCTTGGTCTGTAAGTACTTTATATTTTGTAGGAAACATAATTTATAATGATGCAGGCACTATAACATGAGGTACGGTGTTCCTTGGGCTAAGGTTTTGATGTGTTTTTTAAAATCTTAGATTTTGTAATAACATTTTTTGTTTCCCCTTTTATCATTCACAGGATGTAGGTGTCACTGGCCAGGCAGCATTTATTGCCCATAGTCTGGAGTCTCCTTCCCTGAAGGTGATTAGTGAACCAGATGGGTTTTTCCCCCAACAATGGACTATAGATTCATGGTCATTGTTAGACTCTTAATTCCAGATATTTTATTGAATTCAAATTCCACCATCTGCCATGGTGGGATTTGAACTCAGGTTGCCAGAACATTATCTAGGATTTCTGGATTAATAGTCCCTTGATAATACCACTAGGCCATCACCTCCCCTTGGGATACCTGCCTGGAGAGAGATATCAACAACA